TATCCTCTTCCCCACCCCCCAGCCCCCAGTATACACATTGGCTAATTTTTTGTGACCCAGCCAATAGATGTATTGATACGATGGATCTGTCTCGTGCTCAACTTTGTGATTAAACCATAGCTACTTAGGCAAAGCAGCATAAGTCCCCACTGTTGGTTGGTTGGTTGGTTGGTTGGTTGGTTGGTTGGTTGGTTGGTTATCAACTGAGCTGGCACTAGAAGCAAGGTTTCTAACGCTCCGAAAGATCCCAGTGCCATCCGATTTGGTTCCTTGCGTGGATCAATTGGAGCCTCCGTGGAACTGTGTACACTCACTCCGCTGGGCCTCCTACTGGAGGCTGATAGACTTTCCCCCACTACTCTGCAGCTTCTCTCCAGGTCTCTGTGGGGCTCTCAGCCCAGCACACATGCAAGGCCAGGCGGGCTGTGCATTGAGAGTGGAGCCACCCTGAGCTGCAGCCATAATGTTGTCTCTTGTTGGTGTGTCTCTGTGCCAAGTATCTTCCTAGGTCTTTGTTTCCTCATCTGTCACATGGCGGTGGTTATGTTGACTCGGCAGGGGTTGGATGAGAAGCAAATGACAGAATAATGCCTTTGATAATGGACCAGCACAGGAAACAGAGCGCAGTGCGCACTCAAAACATGAGTCGTTGGTCTAAAATAAGTTCGTATATAAATCCACTTTGTTAATAATTTAGCATAACAGTTAAAAATCCACATTGTCATTTTATAGCTAATCAATAATAGCCACATGGCTAAAGAAAATCTATACGTAGACTAAAAGACCCTTCCCAGAGATTAATGTACTATATTAATGCTTCCGGGAAACATGTTCAATCTAGGACTACTTTCGTTTTGTTCTAATGGTATTATTTTATTCAGATATTCTCCAGAAATAACCTCATAATTTTTTAAAATAGCCCCCTGGCCCGTGTTGCTCAGTGGTTGATCATTGACCTTATGAACCAGGAGGTCACTGTTTGATTCCAGGTCAGGGCACATGCCTGGGTTGCAGGCTCAATTCCCAGTAGGGGATATGCAGGAGGCAGCCGATCAGTGATTCTCTTTGATGTTTCTATCTCTCTCTCCCTCTCCCTTCTTCTCTGAAATCAACAAAAATATATTTAAAATAGAAAGAAAAACCAATGCTTGTTATTTTCCCAAAGGAGCTGGAAGCTTCTGTCCACATAGAAGCCCACGTGTGTTTACAGCATCTTTATTTATCACTACCCAAACTTGGAAGCAACCAAGATGCCTTTTAGTAAGTGAATGAATGAATAAGTGGTACATCCAGACAGGACATTATGCAGAGCTAAAAAGAAGTCTCTTTCTTTCCCCTGAATTTTGCTGTGAACCTGAAACTGCTCTTTAAAAAAAAAAAACAACAGTCTTGAAAAGAAAGTAATGCTGTCTAAAGCTGCCAGACTCACTTCTTGACAACAAAAAAATGACTTCTGGTGTCCGTGTTTTCATGGGACCTTGCAAAGGGTGAGGGTGATTAAGGAGGTCGTCATGCAGACTAACTAAGGAAGGTCTCATAGTTGAAATGTTTTCTTCATCAGTAACAAACCTTTAATATATTTTTTCAGTTGATTTCAGAGAGGAAGGGAGAGGAAGAGAGAAACGTCAATGATGAGAGAGAATCATTGATCCGCTGCCTCCTACACACTCCCTACTGGGATCGAGCCTGCAACCCGGGCAAGTGCCCTTGACTGGAATAGAACCTGGGATCCTTCCTTCCGCAGGCTGATGCTCTATCCCACTGAGCCAAACAGCTAGGGCAGTAAGAAACCTTTAATTTAAAAAAGAAAAAAAAAAAACTGGTCATATTCAGTAAAAATACACCTGAAAATAAAGCATATAAGTAGTAAGAAGTATTCATGGGTGATTTTTTTTTTTTATCTGATGTGGTAAAAAAAATTATTTATTTAGAAACAGTGAACCTAGCTTGTCCGCCAGATTCTGTAATGACTAGATACTGAGCTCTGAGCAGGTCATTTAACCTCCACGAGCTTCAGTTTCCTTTTTTTAAAAACTAGAGCTATCCCGATGAGCGTGCCTCCGTGGTTGAGCACTGACCTATGGACCAGGAGGTCACGGTTCAAGTCCTGGTCAGGGCACATGCCCAGGTTGCGGGCTCAATCCCCAGTGTGGGGCGTGCAGGAGGCAGCCGGTCAATGATTCTGTCTCATCATTGGTGTTTGTATCTCTCTCTCTCCCTTTCTGAAATCAATAAAAATATTTTTTAATGGAGATGGTAGCAATTACTAGAGTGATTTCCCTAAAAAGGCATAGTTTTCAAAAAAAAATATGTTCTACATGAAAACCTGACTTGATACAGACACCATCTGTTTAAATTCTCCTAGAGTGGGACACTTCGTTATTGCTCTGAATCAGATATCTTGTCACTTGTCAAGGTTTGGATCTATCCCATGACCTACAGTATAATCTTACAAAGCAAAATTCAGCAGTATCCTTTTCAGAAAGGCAGTCAGGGCTCTGTAAACCAGCATTATACTAGTAAAAGAAATGTGAAATTGTAGTCATTTATATTGTGTGTTTATACTTTTAAAGAGAAAAATCTGCCCTGACCGGTGCAGCTCAGTTGATTGAACAAAGTCTCCGGCACCAGAAATGGTGAGCGGTTCCATTCCCGGTCAGGGCCCATGCCTGGGTTATGGGCTCCATCCCCCGTGGGGGCCACTCAGGAGGCAGCCGATCCGTGTTTCTCTCTCACCGATGTTTCTCTCCTTCTCTTTCTCTAAACTCAATAAAAACATTTTACAAATAAAAATAAAAAAGAAAAGTCTGTGAAAGCTAAATTGTAACAGCAAAGAAATAGGAGACGCGATAGTGGAATGTATAGTCTCCACAGCCTTTTAATCCTGGTTCAAATCCTGGCTTTGGAGTGTAATTTCTGCTTGAGCCTCAGTTTCCTCACCTGGAAAATGGGGTTAAAAGCCTTTATGTGCAGAATAACTGTGAAACTCAAGAGATTCCCCACCAGCATTCAGCTCCTCAGAAAACCAGTCTAGAATAACCCCAAATTGTGTGTTGTTTGTATTTAGTTGCTTCATCCCCAAATGGACTCCTCAGAGGATTTCATTTCAACTACAATTACTACAATAGCATCTTCTACTACGGATACTCTAAAAAGGCCTGAGACACAACCCTTGCCCTCACAAAACTGCAGATTCCTTCCCGGAGTTTCTTCTTTGAAACCAGCATGCAACTGGGACAGGGCTGAGGAACGCTTCTGCGCAGGCCCCGGGGCGGGAGGGAGAGATGTACCCCCTGGCTGGCTCTTTTTCAAATCTCCAGAATATTCCTCTGGCTTCCGTGCACTCCCCACGCTTTTCAATGCACCTGAGGACCCCTTACCTGGTGTTGTTGTACAGCCTTTAGGTCAGCAGTTCTCAACCTGTGGGTCGCGACCCCTTTGGGGGTCCAACGACCCTTTCACAGGGGTCGCCTAAGACCATCGGAAAACACATATATAATTACATATTGTTTTTGTGATTAATCCCTATGCTTTCATTATGTTCAACTTGTAACAATGAAAATACATCCTGCATATCAGATATTTACATGACGATTCATAACAGTAGCAACATGACAGTGATGAAGCAGCAACGAAAATAATTTTATGGTTGGGGGTCACCACAACATGAGGGACTGTATTAAAGGGTCACGGCATTAGGAAGGTTGAGAACCACTGCTTTAGGTAATCCCCCAAAATGTTTTTGAGATGCTGACTCCAAATATAGTAAAAGATAAAAAAAAACAAAAAAAAAGAAACACCTTAAGATTAACAATTAACATGTCACCTTCTTTGCTTTTATAATCCTCACCTGAGGACATGGGGGGGGGGGGGGGGGTGAAATTCCTAGGCCCTGCAGGGGATCGAACCCACAACCCAGGCATGTGCCCCTGAGCAGGAATCAAACCTGCAACGCTTGGGTGCACAGGTGAGGCTCAACCCACTGAGCAACTCCAGCCGGGCCGGACACCTCCTTCCTAAAGCCATCCCGTCTGGCTGCTGCAGGCTGGGCCTGGGCAGGGGTAAGGGCTGGCCCTGGGGACTCTGAGCAGAGGGAGCCAGCGCACTTGCTGGGGGCGCCCGGGTGTCGCCGCCCCGGGTGGGTGGTGGGTGGGCCGCGGGGCGCTTGGTTCAGTGTGAGCGCAGGTGGCGAGGTCCTGCCGGCCCTGCACTGCCAGGTCCTGCGGGGAAGTAGCGTGCGGGGCTCCAGATGCGCATCCCGGGGGCCATTCTCGGGGGGTTGCTGGGCACCCCGTGCTCTAAGGGCCCAGAGGTGGGAAGTTATTGAACTTTCCGAATAAAGCGGGCGGGGCGCGGGGTGCGGGGCGCTGCGGGCTGGAGTGGGGGGAGGGCGGAGGTGGCCCCCTGGCCTCCGGATCCAGCCCCGCGCAGGCGGGGGGAGCGCGGCGCGCCTCCCAGTGGACATGCGGGAGGGAGCGGGGCGGCGGGTGGAGCGGCGGGCGGACCCGCGAGCCCGCAGCCCGAGCCGCCCGGCCGGGGCGCGGCGGGAGGGGCGGCGGCGGCTCCTCTCTGCGCCAACCTGCGGGCTGGGCCGGCTCGGCGGCCCCTCCCACCGCCCCGCCGCCTCCCGAGCTCCCGCCCCGTCCGGCCCGGGTCCCCGGCGGCGCCACCAGCAGCCGGCGCGGGGAGCGCACGCCCGGGACCGCGGCGGCCGGGGACAGCGCGGCCACTCCGCTCTCACCGCCCGCGCTTCTGCCTTCGCGGAGCAGGCGCCCCCCCCCCCCGCCCCGATTCCCTCTCGCCCCCGCCCCTCCCCCCTCTCCCTCGCCCGCCCCCTCCCGCCTCTCCTCCGGCGCCGCCCCTCCCGCCCGGCGTGCGCCCCCCGCGCTCCCGCCGCCCCTTCCTGCTCCCGCTCCCCGCGCCCCGCGCGCTCGTCCTTGGCTCCCGGCTCCCCGACCCTCCCGAGCCCCCGCGCGCCGCCCGCCGCCGGTCATGTCAGGATGGAGATCCGGCAGCACGAGTGGCTCGCGGCCTCCCCCCACGAGGGCTTCGAGCAGCTGCGGCTCAAGAGCCGCCCCAAGGAGCCCTCGCCCAGCCTGGCCCGGGTGGGCGCGAACTTCTACAGCAGCGTCAAGCAGCCGGACTACAGCGCCAGCGTCTGGCTCCGCAGGAAGGACAAGCTGGAGCACGTAAGGCGCCCCGCTCCCCCCGGCCCCCCGCACCCCGCACCTGCCGCGCGCGCGCACCCACCCACCCACCCACCCACCCCAGGGCGGCCCGGCCCCAGCGCGCACGGAGACAGGGCGTCCGCGCCCCCCTTGCAACCCGGGCTTCCCCGCCTGCACTTTCTGGCCGTGAGGACTGGGCTGTGGGGCGGGCAGGGGAGCCCCCTCTCCAGGGACCGCCTGGCCCCCGCGGGCGTCCGCGCCCTGGGGCTCCTCGGCGCCGGGCCTCGGGGCGCGGGGTGACTGGCAGGGAAGGCGCCGCCACCCGCGTGGTCCGAGGAGCCCGGCGTTGCGCGGCGGTGGCTCTAGAGGGGCGTGTGTGCGGGTTGGGGGGACTCCTAACTGCGCCCGCAAAGTGACTCAAAGAACCTGGGAAGTTGTCGCCGCTGGCCACTCGCCCTGGGCCCGCCACGGGCGGTGTCTGCGGAGTGGCCCCTGGCTGAGCCGCGGGCGAGCCCGCTCCACCTGAGCCCAATCTGGAGAGATGTGCGCGTGGCCAGGAGACAGGGACCTCCACCCCCCCCCCCCCCCCCCCACCCACCACCACCACCACCACCTAGAGTGCGGGCTCCCCGCCAAGCGTCCTGGGCTCTTGGCTGAGCCCGAAGACCCTTCCTTCTGGAAGGAAAAAGTCCCTCTAAAGAGGCGTTTCCTGGATCCACAGTTTCCAATCTAACCCATCGGCAGGTCCTTAAGGCAAATGTTAAAATGAAACAGTTATCGCCAGAGTGCAGCACAGCCAGCTAAGGAGAGGCTGTTTCTTCCCGCAGAGAGATGCCTAATCTAGTTGAGTCTCTTCATGGAATGTGGAGGTTCCCTGTATTTGGGTCACCCCACCAGCTATGTTAGGAAGGCAGGACTTCTGGGGCTCGCACATCTACCAGCATCAACCTGAGTGTGTCCCCCCCACACCCCACCCCCAGGTGTTCCTCCTCAGGGACAGCAAGCTTCCCAGGAGGGAGCCTGCAAAGGGATGTTTCTCTTACCGGAAGGTCTCTGCCTTTTGTCTCGATTAAGTCACTGAAAGCTCAAATTGAAAGCTCTAAGTTGGGGACCAGTTTCTGCCTCGGAGAACCATTTCCTTAACACCAAAAGGATGTCTCATCCTTCAGACCCGGGAAGTAATGGAAGCAGATTTCCAGGATGGCAAGTGGTTTTCGAGGCAAGGGTGTCCACTTAGAAATGAGAGCTCCGGAATCGGCATAGGGAACCGCTGACATTATTACTTTAAAGGGGAGCGGATGGCATCTGCGTGTCATTGGGCACTTGATGTTATCTGGTGTGAGGACCCGGGAGATCGGTGGAGCCTGAGGATGGTGATGCATCTTCATTTCACTTGCACTCGGAATGTGTGTTCATTTGCAGCGTGTGCTTTCAGCCGATCTATTTCCTTTCTCCTCCTGAAAATCAATAGCGCAATCTCCTATGAGTATGCCTCCTTGAGTCACAGACACCGCATGCGATATCTTTCAGTGGTTTCTCCCACTCAGGTTTTCCGTGAAAGGATGAAGTCATCCCAGGTGGGCCTGGCAGAGTCGCCACCTTTCTGGACAAGTAGACGATGCTCAGCCCCTCCAGACAGTGAGGGACCGAAGGGAGGAGAGGTGGTGGTTGGAAGCATGCAAGGATCTGTGCTTTCTTCACTCAGGTGCATTGCATCCATTTTTTTAAAAAAAAAATCAATAGCCTCATTTGTTATTTAAATGAACAGCAGTTTTGTTTGCTTCTCACATACATTTCGTGAAACATACTCTGTTTTTCTCTGTACTTGCTTTCAATTAGGAAGGGGCATTTGCATCAAAGGAAGTCTTTTATGATACTCTTTTGCTCCTTTGAAACATCCACAAACTTTTTAAAGGAAATAATATGTATGAAAGTGCTATGAAAAAATAGCATAAAAATGTAAATGTGTCTGAATTCAATTCCTGGGTATTTAGAACATATATCAGCGGTGTGTACATTACGATGTTTCAAATTAGTTAGATCTTGGAGATTTGAAAACCCATAACAAATGCTACCTGGTATATTATGGCCACACATTACATGGAAATGTAGTGTTGACTATATGATAGACAACGTTCTGAACACACGTGGCACCTTCGGATTTGGGTGTTACGGAGAGTAGGGTGAGTGCGTCATGTGAAGTTCAAAGGTGATGGTGGTTTAAAACAACAGAACACCCTTTGGTCTGTCTCAACTGCAGGACCATGATTTTTATTATGAATAATGATAAGGGAGATCATTTACATGAAAGCAACCTACTGTGATTTTGCTGCGGTTTTAAGAGTCAGTCTGGTGGTAAGGGTATAAATAAATGATGGCTTCCGTTGACACACGCATTCCGTCCTTGCCCTAAAGGAATTCCCTGCAGTGAAAGGTGGCAGGGTGTGGGCTCTGTCCAGACTTCGGAGGCATTCCTTAATGTGAAAGTCAGTAGCACAGCGTCAGGTGACAGCTAAAGAATATATTCCCACCCACTTCGCTGAAAATGAAGATAAGTGGTTTCTTTCTCCTTTTCTAGTGTAAAGGCTACAGGACTAGAGACAAGTGACATGAATGGGTGCAGGATTGGAATGCTTTCAACCCACCTGGAAATCTGATTCCTGTCATTCCTTGGTTGCTAGACACTTAACAGGATGAATACCCATTAAGAAATAAACGCATGTGAGGGAATTCTTCCATCCTTGAGTCTTGATTAGAAGCGACAAGGAAGGTGTGTTTGTACCATGGATTCTGGACCTTGAACTCCACTTGGAAATTTCAGGGACAAGTGAAATTGCTGGGCACCCATAGAATGTTTGTTATCTCATTAGCTACAGACAGCGAGCGCTCTCGGTCCTTCTATTATTTCGCTTCCATTTCTGTATCATAGGCTCATGGCTTCAGAAGGGTTAGGTTTGGGACCCCATGGGCGTCTGTTGTCTGTAGGATCTATGTGTGCTTTAGGCATAATGTCAAGGTGAAATATATGGTCTAGCAAAGCAAGAGGAGCAGGTGGACAGTTCTTCACCCCCCAGCCCTCCCCTGCTCCGTCAGCCCTCCCTGGAGCTGGTGCCCGAGCTGGTGCCCTCGGGACTCAACATTGCTCTGTGGTTGGACCACCCACAGGGAAGAGTAACATTAGACTGGTGTCCTTGGGTGGCAGCTGGCCTGTGTGAACTTGTTTGGTGTGTGTTTTTTTTACAAAGTGGGAGAGGCTGCTCTGCTTGGTCGCCTGGTTTCGTGTCTGTTGTGTGTGGGTAGACGTTCCCTGATGCGTTAACGGAGGTGGGAATGCCGTATTTCCCCTCCTGCTTATTCCGTTTGCTTTTGCCAAACTGTGGAGAAGAGTGGACTCTGGGTAGAGGCTCTGAAACCCACATCTGGGTTCAGGCTCTGACCCCATCGCTCGTTAACTCTGATCTCAGGCACAGGACTCGGTTCCCAGGAGGCCGAGTCGCAGGTTTGCCGGGAGGATTCAAGGAGACAGCCCATGTCTGCGCTGCGTGACACACAGTCCCCTGGTATCGGGGGCTCCACACCACAGAGGTGCATGCTCCCCTCATGCTTCTCTCTGGCAGGTTGACATGTGTCTTCGTTCATGTGGGCCGCTGTGAGGGTACCATGGCCGGCTTGGACGCAACGAGCATTTATCTCTCACAGTTCTGGAGGCTGAGAAGTTCAAGATCGAGGTGCGGGCAGACTTGCTTCCTGGCTCCTAGGCAGCCCTCTTTCCCTTGAGCCCTCACGTGGTGGGAGGGGCGGGGGGAGCTCTCTGGAGACCGCTCTAGAAGGGCACTAATCCAAATCCTGAGGGCGCCAGCTTCATGACCTAATCCCCTCCCACAGGCCCCACCCCCTCGTGCCAGCATGCGGGGCTTCAGGATTCAACATCTGATTTTTGAGGGATGGAAACATCTGAATTTGGGGGAACACAAACATCCAGTCTATAGCAACAAGGTATTTTCCTCCTTTCAGTTGTCTGGGCTGAAGGAAGTGCCATGCGGATCGCTGTTTTCATGGTTGTCAGGGTAGTTCAAGGGAGGCCGGTGAGTCATGCACCGCCTCCCACTGTGTCCACCCAGAAGTGATACATCCTCTGACTCCTTTTTATTGGCCGGAGAAAGTTTCATGGTCAAGGCTGCTACCAAGAGAGTGAGGAAGGCAGATTCAGCTAAGATCCAGAAGAAAGCCCTACCTGGTTTGGCTCAGTGGATAGAGCGTTGGTCTGCAGACGGAAGGGTCCCAGGTTCGATTCCGGTCAAGGGCACATGCCTGGGTTGCGGGCTCGATCCCTAGTAGGGGGCCTGCAGGAGGCAGCCAGTCAATGACTCTCTCTCATCATTGATGTTTCCTATTCCCTCTCCTTTCCTCTCTGAAATCAATAAAAATATTAAAAAAAAAAAAAGACAGAAGAAAGAGAAAGAACATCCATGACTAGTCAGTAGGACACCAACACTTGTCAAGCAGGTAACACAGTGCGTGGCCCGTGTGACATCTCCCCGCACGGTACCTATAGGCGTGATTTCTTCTCAGGTGGGGCCTGGCGGGCCGGCTGATCCCTCACCCTTCACCCAAGGGGCTCCCACTGTCCAAGTTTGAGAGCAGCCTGTCTGCATCTTAGTTCTGGACACAGCGTGTGCATTCTCTATCCGGCAAAGCCAGCTGTTGGCCACCACTTGGCCTGGCCTCCTGGCCTGGGGGCCTCTTTCCTGGGCCAGTGGCACCGCTTGCTCCCTGCCTGGCTAGCCCGTGGCTGACTCTCCTTCTCACTCTCTCTGCCGGCGGTGCTAGCAGAGCCCAGCTCCTTGCCCGGCCCCCAACCCCTGCTTTCCTTTCGAGCTCTGTGCTGGTTGAATGAAGCCTGGCGATGTTTTCTTTATCTGCACAGTGACTCAGAAAGCCTATTTAAAATGAAAAGAGAAAGCAGAAGAGAGAACGTGTAAAGAGAAGAGGCTAGCATCCTAAATGTTCACACTTGTACG